CACGCAGGGCATCCTGCGTGTGCCCCTTGCCCTGTGTACCCCCTGCCCTCATTTTGTGTTTCTGGCATGCTGGCACTTCAGCATCTTGCAAGGTAGGCATTGTGGGGGTTTTCAGCACTCCAACCAAAAAACATTGCCTACCACTGTAAGACTGAAAATAAGTGTAACTTACTGATTTATGGTTGTCCTGCTGTAGATGCACAATACAAAACCAGTTCAGTTTGGAATTATTCTTACAGACTATGAAAAGGCACAACTTGATGTCCAAAAACTTGTTTTTTTTCTATTCTGTTTTGGTTTTTTAAAAAGGGTTTTCTGGGTGGTATCTTTCATTGAATCAACTGTGTGGTCAGTAGGGATGTAAACAAGATTTGGTGTACCAAGTACCCTTTCTGGTGATATTGGAAAAAGGTTTCTGGACCCCAAAATCTGGCCTGTATCTCTACCAACTATATAGTTGGTTCTATAAAACCTATTACCCACAAAAATCCTAGCTGCTTGCGTTTTTCCTCCACCATCACACCTACATCACTGCCACAACTTCTGTTCTTTACATACACTTTTTCCCTATAAAATATTTAAATTTGCTGAAAAATGCTGAGTTTATATTTAATGACTTGCAGTTTAAGATTATTTTTTTTTTACCTGTTTTCCATCATCTTATTAAGAAATATTACTTTTTGGTTTAGGTAAATTTGTTTCTCCTTTTTTTTCCCAACAGAGAAAATGAAGACGCCTAGATCATCAGCGGTTAGTATTCCCCCCCCCCCCCCCCCCCCCCCAAAAGTGTTCAGTTGCTGGAAATGAGTAATCTTCCCTCAGACTGTGCACAGAGACATACGAACAAATGGGTAGAACATGGATTGAAATCTACTTGGTTGTCTCCCATTATACCACCAGCAGATCACAATCTTTATTACTGTTTTAGGGCTTGGTTTGATGCATACAGAAGTGAATTGGGAGTGCTTTGACTTCAGATGATTGCCTTAAATCCTGACTCTGCTCCTCTGGAATCAGAGCCTGGTTCACAATAGAATTTAGCTGCAATATGCTCTAAACTTCAGTGTCCAGTTGCAGTTATAGACTTTTTTGTTCTTGTTTTTTTTTTTATCTGGACTAAGATAAAAATCAAGGGTAAATCCCAAAATAAAAACTAAGCAGGAAATGGCACAGCAAGTATCATCACTAGAAGTGTAGGCTCCAGGTTCTAGGCACAGTTATGTAATGCAGTTATACAAGCCTCTCATTTTTGCTTGTTAGGAAACCATTGTTCAGAGGGTTGTTCTTGCCTAATTCTTCTGAAATAGAAATCTTACTAAGCAGTCATTCGTTTCTCTGTGTCCTTTATCTCTTCTTTTGTTTTGTTGCAGTGATTACAGGGAAAATTTACTTATGTAGCATAGCCTAAGGTTTTCCTACATCCAACCCATGGATTTGCATTAGCTTGTCTCCCATTGGTGTGTGTTAGAATACTTCTTTACCATTGAGATGCAACTAGCTCTGTTCTCCAGGACAGTTGGTACAAAAACATTGCCAAAACTACATATACCTAGTACAGCAACTGCATTGTATAACACTGCAAAATATTGACCCTCACACAGTTGGGCTTTTGTGACTGTCCTGGACAGTCAAACATAGTGTCAGCTTAATGTGATGGCTAGATGCGGAGTCTTCTGACAGAGCTATCTACTTTCAGGGTAGTGGTCTCAGGAAGTATTTCTTGCTTCTTCAACAACTGTTTCCCTTAAGCACTACTAGTGATAACAGATCCTTGGGCAGGATGTCCTATGTACAGCCTCATTTAGCCTTGTTGGGTGTGTCTACGCATTGCTGTACGGTGATGTTGCTAAAGTGCCATACTTTAGTACTTCCTTTTGAAAGTAGTAAAGCATGACACAGTATGGGTGATTACTGTGTCATGCGGGTGGCACATGCTTAGATTTGCCCACTATATTGCTGTAGCTGTGCACTATGTCTGGGGAGCACACTGCTATGGTGACAGCTGGCGATCACGTGTAGACCCAGATGATTGCTACCTTGCTGTTGCACACTGTACAGCAACGTAGCATGTCACTACATCGCCATAGGGCAATGTGTAGATGCGCCTGTTGAGTGGTATCCCCTTGCTTTGCCTTGTATCTGAATTACTAATGATCTTGTAAAAGTCTAAATATCAGTACTAATGAAATATTTTTATAACATGAAAGTAAGTAATACCACGGGCTGCTTTTTTTTCAGTAGTTGTTGGGGTTTTTTTGTGTTAGTTTTTTTTGTTTGTTTGTTTTTTTTTACTTCCATAAATAGATTTAGCCTCTGAAGCAATGAATTCTGTAAACATCAAACCAGGTTCTCTCTTAGCTTGTGTATGGATATTGATTGCTTTGACACAGCTAGTTTTTTATTATCTTTCTTACTGTAACTTACTAAAGCTGACACACGCAATTGCATTTTTAACTTGTGTTCAAAGATGTTTTTATACATGGCCTCTTGTTGTCAGGGATGTAGAGCCCTGGATCATGATTTCCTGTGAAATCTTTGCTTGATAGCCTCATGGTGCTGTACCATACCCAGTAGTAATTTGTCTTCTGGATAATGTCCAGAATGAGCAGTAGTTTATAAAATCCTTTTCATTTAGAACTAAATTAAAACTTCCTGGTTTCTAAGCAAGTTCTCTTTGCATTCAGTAAAACATGTCATGCATTATTGTTTTAAAAAAGACGTATTAATCACAGAACTGACTAAGCTCCACAGACCAGATTCTTGCTGGATCTGACTTGATGTAGCTTAACTAATATCAGCCTAGCAGTGCTTTGAAATTTTGATTCTGAAAGTGGTACAGTCAACAGCCTGCTGCAGTTTTTTAGATTTGGCCTATAAACTGTAAGCTGTGAAGTGTAAGTAGCAAAATGTGGAAGATGATTCTTTTGTCCCCTTTCACAGAGAATTCTATTTAAAGGACAATTTGTGTTGCTGTTTTGTAGCCTTTTCTATTTTCAAAATCCTGTAGGTGTCTGTTGGCTCATTAGTAGCAGTTCTGTACATGATGATTTGGAGCAGAGATGCCCACATCTTGAGAGACTAAAAACTGTAATGAAATTACTTATAGTCTAAAAACTGCAATTGATTTTTACATATGTGACTAAATTTACTGGTTCTGGCCAGAAAAATGAAAGAGTATTAAATAGCTTTGTTGGAATTCTACGTTTCTATTTTTGCCTTTCAGCCAAGCTGCTTTGGTTTTCCAATCAGCATCTTCTTCATTGTCATTAATGAGTTCTGTGAAAGATTCTCCTACTATGGAATGCGAGGTAACTTTCCTTCGCTCTTCTTTAGCTTTTGGTTTCAGTGGAAAATTTCACATTTCTAACTCCTTGTTCTGTCTTTCTGCAGCTGTGCTCGTTTTGTACTTCAAATTTTTTCTCCATTGGGATGACAACCTGTCTACAGTCATCTACCACACATTTGTTGCTCTGTGCTATTTGACACCAATCCTTGGAGCAATTGTTGCCGACTCCTGGCTGGGGAAGTTCAAGTGAGTGTTTGGGGGGGCGGGGTGTAATCTAAAGCAACTGAACAGAGCAATTAAGTTGTGGATTTCTGTTTCAGGAAAGGGTTTCAAACAGCCAACTGAGTACATTTAATACCAAGTCTTCACAAAATCAAAATCTGTGTTTAGAAAGAGAAGTTTTGAGTTTCAGTGGATGTGGCTCAGAAGTGGAACTGAGGAACAATTGCTTTCACTGACTTGATCTGTCAACTCAGTCAGAAGCACTTACAGGTTCATGGGAGTTGGGCGTAGTCAGAAACTCTGCAAATCGGGCCGTAAAATTTCTGCTTCTCCTTTTGTGCCTATTAAGTGTTTGGAGGATTAAGTCCTAAATGGCTGAAAGTCTTATCTCATCAACTTGTACTTCTGTACAGTTTTTCCCTTAAAGTAGCCTCATTGGGAGATGGGTGTTTGCAGAATCAGGGCCCTAGAAAGCAGTGCTAATCTTGATTTAAAATTTGAAGAATGGCTTTAAGATTTTGTTTCATCTCCCAAGATGCGATTTGGTTCCTTACGCAATCGCATCAAATTTCTAGAGCTGTTTACATCTCTTCCTGCAAATAACAACTGAGTTCAATGGTGATTTTTTTTATACTCCTGCTTAAAGTGGGAACCTGGGACTTGGGTCAGTTGTGAGAGACCCTTTTTTAATTCTGAACACCAGTTACCCCCCCCCCCCCCCCAAGATTCCATAGCAAAAACAATGGAACAGGGAACTTCATGACAAAGGAAGATGGGCAACTTGGTAATCATTATTATGACTGAAGCGGGGGTAGTCAGTGCACTAGTAATTGTAACTTTATAGGTGAGGCTGGATCCTATAGCTACCCATCCACTGTATGTATACAGAATATCTGTGTGGGAGTACCCTCAGGGACACTCCATACTTTGTTGAACAGGAAGTTCTTGTTTGTGGAAGAAGGCAGATACCATTTTTGTAGTGTGCAAGATGTCCAAATAAACTGTAGCAAGCTGATTATGTAAGCTGTCTCGATTATGTAAAAAGCCCTCACCATTTCTAATATTTGTGCCGCCCAAACTGACGACAATAACAAGGCTCTTTTACAGTTGGATCATACAGATGGCCCTCATCTGAATGTCTTGCTGCCCATTGTTAAAGCTAACAATTAAAATGACTAAGTGACAGAGTAGTTTTTAGCCCTGGGTATTTCAAAGATGTCTGTTTGTGTGTGTGTGTGGGGGGGAAGTAGGATCAATTCTAGTGCTATTTCAGTTGGCTCTTTGTACTGTGTTCTTTTACAACATGAACATCTTCTGCTTCCTGATGCATACGGCAGCCTCTCACTACTCATCAGATTTTAGTCCTTTATTTCTGAAACAGAATGTGTGGGGTGTTTGGAGGTGCCACAAATTCCCATTCGCTGAAGCATTTAAGCAGTTCCTTAATGTTAGTCACCTGTTCAAGTCCCAGAAAAGTTAAAAATGTAAGCAAGTCTTTGATCAACAAGTATGAAAACTTCAGCTTAAAGTTATGAGCTTCTTGGTGATAGCAACACACACATGCAACTGAGAAAATCAGGTTTACTGTTTGCAGCCTGCACCATCTGGGAGCTAGGCTTGAATTTTCCTCTCTTTGTAGATGTGGAACATACTTTAAGGCGAGGGAACAAGCTAATGTGCTAGTCATTATTTATGAAAATAGCTTGTTCTGGTTTCCATACTTGGGATGGATGATTTCCTTCCCCATCCCACCTTCTGTTTTGGTTTGGAAATAATACCAAGAAAATACAAACAGTAGTGTATTTGGAGTATAAATTGCATGTTAATGATTAATGTAACACCCAATTTAATTTTCACAACATGATAAATATAACAAAAGAGCTTTTTAATCTTAGTTTTATTATTTAAAAGGCAAGCACTTAGATGCAATGCTCCTACAGTGTTTTGTTAATATGCACAATATTTTTTCTGGTATTTTTGTTGTGTTTGCTTTAATCAGGTAACTAAAATTCCATGACTTAAATCTCTTTCCTTAAAAGAGATAATAAAAAAAATCCAAACTGTACCTGACCTGGAGTATTGTATATTATTCACTAAATATTTTGGCAAATTTGCAATATCATAGTTAACTCATGTTTGTTCTAACCAATAATCTTTCTGTGCTCAACCCTTTTGTAAACTAGAAAGAAATCTGAATTAGTTGTGCAGATAAAGACAGATCTATTCTCTCCTCTTCTCACAACAGGACCATTGTCTCCCTGTCCATTGTTTATACCATTGGGCAGGTAGTTATGGCTATAGGCTCCATAAATGATTTGACAGATCATAACCGGGATGGAACTCCTGATGTCCTCTCAGTGCACATGTAAGTAGCATTACACACTAATGCAAGATGGAGCAATTTAGGTCTTGTCTTGTAATCAGCTTCTTACTGACGTTTTTAATTAGGAAGTCATTAAGTACATGTTATAGAAATCTTGCAAAAACATAGTCAAGACTGCTGAGCTTAATTGAAATGGGGGGCAGGGAAAAAAGTGACTTAATTGTGTTTACTAAAGCTGTTTTTTTGTTTTTTTTTTCCTGAGTTCCCATAGTTTTAGAGCAAAAAAAAGAATCTAACTTGTTGCCTTCTAATAGGGTTGGATAGTTGTAGCTGTAAATGGTTCAGACCTAGGCAAGAACAAAGGGGTTTTCATTAGTAATATATTTTATTGGGCTACCTTTTTTTTTACAGTCAAAAGGTAGCAGAAGGCGGGACAGAGTGGGACCTTTATAGACTAATTCAGAGGGATACGTTTTCATTACTTATGAAGGCTTATGCCTCTCCAAAATAGTTTTATAAGGTGCCAGTCTGCCCTGCCTTCTGCCTGACTGCTGAGACTAATATACCTAACACCCCCTCTGGTTGGAGAGATGTTGGATAAGCTTTTGGGCACCAAGTTTCTTTACTCGGGTCAGGGACAGAAAGCAGTATACTCCAAGTTAAATGTGTGAGAGAAACTAAATGACTACTAGACTTCAGAATGAACTCTCCTAGAAAAAAAGATAGGAACACCTGTGGGAGAATACTTTACTTTTCAAAGAAAAATTGCTTCATTTCTGACTGCACAGCCCTTCTGTATAAAGCCTTAGAATATGGGGCCTGGGAACAAAAGAAATCATAACTTTATTGGACACTAAACATAGAAAATCATATCACAACTCCTTTAACTGGTGTCTCCTGTAATCTGGTAATTATGCCCCTCTTCCCTTCTGAATAGTTCTTTTTTTATGTAACTAGACTGTCTATTCAACTGGACTCTTTCTCTAGCTTTGGAGCCACTGCTGATAACTTTTCTCTGCTCCTAGTTGATTGCTGTCCCCTATTTCTTTAAATCTGTTTTCTTTTGTGCATGGGGGTTAAACACAGCTATTGTAGTATCTGATGTTTAACTTAAACTGTACCTGCTGCTTTTCCAGACTTGAGGAAGGCAGGGCAGGGTGTTTCATACAAATAGTATGATGAAACATTACAGCTAATGAAGTAGGCTGTAGCCTACAAAAGCTTATACCTCTCTAGAGTTGGTCTCTAAGGTGCCGCCCAGCCCAGCCTTCTGCCTGACTTCAGACTAATATAGCTCATGTACTTGCATACTCCTTGCTACTTTTTAAATTGTTTCTTCCTTTTATCCGCTTTCAGACTCTTACAGGATGTGTCCAAAACTGAAGTCCTACTGGTTTCACTTGTGGCAGCCACCTGTCAATAGCAGTTCTCTTAATTAAAAATAGATATATGAAAATCTGAGTTCTGTCAGGGGACACTTAGCCAAACAACTCCCTGGATTGAGATTAAAACTAAAAAGTGTGTAGTTTTACTCGCCCTACTGATTTTCCTCACTGCACAGGGCCTCTGCAAGAATGGATCTCTGCTGATGCTTTACTGCACATGCTTCTGATTTTAAAGGTAGAATTTCAGTAACTCAGAAAGCATTATTCTAGCAACAATACCACATTCAAATTACTTCATGAAAAATATATTCAAGGAAGATCATCTTAACCATAAAATATGGTTCAGTACTTCCGTGTACCATAAGTTACCTGTTAATCAGGTTAATGAAGTGCTAGATCCTACGTTGCACCTCCCCTGAGATGCAGCACAGAAAGCATAAACCAGTATGAGCTGGAGAAAAAATAGTCTTATACTAACTTCCCACTCTCTGGATTCCAAGATACGTCAGTGTCTTCAGTAGTTTCTAGTACAGGACAGATCAGTACCAGGGCTACTGTGGTCTGCTCTGAAGTAGAGCTCTCCTGTAATATGAGCTTTTACAATCGCTTCCCTTCCTGTTCCCTTAGCATTTCCTTGTATCTCTTGAAGCATGCCAGTGCCTGCAGTTGGGGCAATGTAGGCCCCATGCTGCTACTGTTTTTGAGGGTAACTGTTCTTTTACTCCATACCAGAGCCTGGTTCTATGACACTGCTGAATGGCAGGACATCCATTAGTTAAACATGCTTTTCTGTAACTCTGTAGCAAGCTTGGACATTCCTCCTCACCCAATATTCCTTTACATGATCTTAAGAAAATGGAATGATATTTCCCTTTATTGCAGTGCTCTCTCTGTGGTCGGCCTGATCCTGATTGCTTTTGGTACTGGTGGAATCAAGCCCTGTGTAGCAGCATTTGGTGGAGATCAGTTTGAAGATGATCAGGTAACAATATGTATCAAGCTAAGTGCAACATGTGTATATCATAACTAAAGATTTAAATTTTGTTTAAATAATGAAATAAACAATCATATATTTATCTGTGTTTTAAACAATAGATATATGCCTGAAAAGAATTTGCATATTTAGATGTGACCCTTCCTGTAGGAACTAGATATATCTGAATAAGAGCTATATTCTTCTCTTGATGTTGTATGTTAGGAGAACTCAAAGAGGAGGTGTAACTACCTGGGTTGGGGGTGGTGGGAGGTGTTGCTGAGTACTTGAGGTGAGGGGGGTGCCAAGAGCTGGGGGATGAGCAGGCCAGGAGTCTTACCTGTTCCACAGACTACCTCTAGAGCAGAGGTTCCCCAAGTTCCTATGCCACAGCTCGGCAAAGGCCGGGGGATGGGTGGGCTAAACCCTCCGCTGCTGAAGGCCCTGCAGAAGGAGCCGTGGTCTCTTTGCCTGGCTCTGGGCGGGGGCTGTGGTTTGCTGGTCCACAGCCACTTCAGGCTGCAGCAGGTCAGCTGCTGGACCAGAGGACTGAGAGCCCCTGCTCTAGAGTCTTACCTGCTGCCATGCCATGGTCTACTTTACCCCAGGTATTGCTACAACAGCAGCTGCGGGAGGCAGCTGAAAGGAGCTGAGGAGGGTCAGCCCAGCCCAGCCCCACAGGAATCTGCACAAACAGGCATGCTCTGGGCCCTGGAGTGTGAGTTTAGTATGGGAGTTCACGTGGGAGGGGCATGAGGCTCAAGGCAGCGAGCATGAGGAGAAGGATCAGTGGCACAGCAGTATCCCGGACTACTACCTGTGCAATGGTGGTAATGCACTGCATCTTAAAGACCCCCCCCCCCCCCCCCCCCCG